GTGCTCCAGTTGGGCGGCAAATTAGGAAAAATCTTGGCGGCTAAAAGTAGTTTTTTCTCCTATAGCTTTAGTCTGCATAACACGTTCCATACTTTCACTTGCTCCAGGAGGTTAGCAGCTTCTCAGAATACATACGGACTATTTAGCTAGAAACATGCCATTTGTATTTAACACTTTCACTTGCAGGCCTTTTTATGCTATAAGTTTTTTGACACCGTTAAATTTGGTTAATCGGAGCTATGTACGTAGTTATTTTGTGAATATTTTATATGAAAAACATATTTGAGATTACACGCATGACCAAACGATGTATTTCTATTTTACATGCAAACTATTTTATGACCCTAAACTTTGTTGGAAATATTGGATTATTTCAAATGAATAAGTTGTTAATTATTTTTGTGGGAAATTTTTCATGACTCATAAGACCATTTTACCCCTACACTTAAAGTTGCTACGTATTATTATTTGACATTAAACAATTGAGATGTTAATTGTTTTCTAACGTTGGACACTAATGATAGTTAATCCAGTAACGTTTTGTATTGATATTTTTTTAATACTATTTAATTCTTACTTTAATCCCATTAAAGTTTATGATGCTTCATATACCTCATGTCTGATTTCAATTGAGTGTGCTTATATATACATAATGTTGCATCCAGCCGAGAGGAGATAGAGATTAGAAAGCAATAACAAAAGACTTGGCATGCAGTTAATGGATTATTGGAGGGAGATTAAAGTTGTTACAAGACTCCTCTAACAAAGTGCTTCTTAATGTGCTACCCTAAAATCATAATTTTATTATTGGGTTCATATAATATTTTCTTCTCGTTAGTTCTGTTACCGGTCATGTACCGAAGGGCTCGTTATATCTTGGGGGAAATTTCCGTACGCCGGAAATAATTCCTTAGGACAGCGTCTGACGCGTCTCGAGCCACTAATATACTTTTAGTTCTTTGTAGTGATTATTTTGCAAGTCAATTAGCGGAGCTAGATGGTCAACGATGTCAATTGTGGAGCAACACGGTCAACACGTTGAATTTGGAAGGATAGAGCCAACAATCTAAGGAATTATTTCCGAATAAAAATTACACCTACGGCACAGTCAACGTGGTGGATACACCTCCTCTGACTAGTGACGCCAAAAGTATGACTACATTTCTAGCTCCCAACAATGGTTAAATTTACGGTATGTTTTTTTTTCATAGCTTTTGTTCAAAAAAAAAATCATTTCTTAGATAATGAAAGTTTTTGGGGAAATCCACCAAAAAAAAAAAAAGTGTAAACTTTGTTGGCGATGATGATATAATTGGTGTGGTTATTTTTTCAAATTGACGAGTAATGTGGGAATGAATAGACGGTAGATTTTGAGGCTACCAAATTCATTTGTGAATACAAAAGTGTTATCCTCCTATTGTCTAATAGGAGATGGCAAAATAGAGAATTTATTGAAACTCACATCAGAAAAATTGTTATCTTTAAATGACATATTTAAAGAGTTTGAATTTTGAATAAGTTGTGGTTAGAGTTATTTTTATATGTGATAAAATTATTATGATTATTGAAAAAAAAAATTTAATAAAAATTTGTGAAATGTGTGGCGAACTATATAAATTTTATTTATTAATATTAATTTTACCATGACATGAGGTTCTAAAAGACTATTGTCAAAATGGATGTCATTGTATATGTTTAGTTTTCTAAATTAATGGCTTGCTTTAAAAAAAAAAATTGCCCGTATTTGGCTGTATTTGTAATTTTCTATTGTTTATTATTATTACAGTGTCATATTTCATATTTTTAAAATTCTTTGAATCATTGCTATTAATTTTAATTTAATTGTAATTGTTGAAAATTGAGAATTGCACCGGTTATCGTTAATTAATTTGCATGCCGTTAGAGAAATCAATTTTGATGTATACATGGTTGAGTGGTGCGCTCAGACCTCTTTAATTACATTTTGTCATTGGAGAGTCTTCTTTATCTTTGCATTTAAAAAAAAAAAAATTAATTGAAGTATGTATTTTTGCATGCAATTGTGAATATACGTTGAGAATCAAACTGTGCTGAATAGGCCTTGGTGATTGCAAAGATTTTGTCCACATTATAACTTTCTATTAGGAGCTTTTGAGTGGAATGGTCTCATTATCTATATTATCACAATTTTAATTGCCTAATGTACGAATTTTTTGTGCATGCATACCTGGTATATAGTTTTGGATGACTATAATTTTGAACCATTTCTTTTATATGAGAATTGTCTATGAGCCTATTTTTACAAATATTTAAAATGTGGGGGTGCTTAGCTAAAATCTTATTACTTGCTATAAAGAGAGAAAATAAATTTCTTGGTAGACGAGAAATACTTTTGTGAAGGGAAAAGTTATATTATTTGAAATGTACATTTGGTGAAAATTGATTTTGACGTGGATCATCATTTTTTTTTATATATGTTTCTAATTGTGTTGTTATGCTTATTAGCTACCTTGAGTTAATAAATGGCTTATATAATTTTTGTTGTTTATTCATATGTTAAAATAGTGGAGCACATGGTTTTCTTATATTAAAGAAACAGTGTGCTTGGTTGTGATGCTTTAAGCTACATTATCTTTGAGATTAATGTGATGAATTTAAAAAAAAAAAAAAATTGTGTATACACTAAATGATGCATGTGAGATTATTGGTTTATGTGTTGCTAGAATTTTTTATATGCTTATTTCAGTAGCTATATTGAGCTAATACATGAAAAGCCAATAAATATAATTTTGAGTATTAAAGCCATAAGGAAGAATGGTGGTATTTTACTATCATTATATTGAGATACTTCTTAAGAAGTTTGGCATTGCTGTGTTAATAATGTGAATATCCCTTATGCCTTTAATACAAATATTAAAAACAAAACACATAATGTGATTCCAAGGCTCAATATATATGCTTAAAAATAATATGAGTTTGTTACAATTAATTGTGTGTGACATGTCATAATTTTAAAATGTTGAATTGAAGGTTGAGCTAATATATGAAATCCAAATGTGATGGTTGGGATACCTTAAGTTATTGAGATGTTCGAGAGGTATCATAATTATGGTTCAGATTATCCGTTGTAATATATTAATACAACGATGATATGCTTATTGAGAAATATATGTTGTACTAGAGAAGTAAAATGATGTTATATATAAGAATTATCCATTGTACTATGATGATACAATGATGTTATATATTATATTGAGAATTATCCGTTAGGATATAACGTATTATTGAATTTATCTGATGTAGAAAAGTGTCACATCAATGCTATTTTTTATTGAGAGTTATCCGTTGTATTGCCGGGATATAACGACGTCATCTGAGTCGACTCACGTGAGATAAAATAGTGGATATCCATTCACTCTTAAAAGTGGTGAAATGATGTTTGAGAATGGAATTATTCCATTAATTTTGTGAAGTTAAAAGGAATTAGCTACTCCTTTTGATAGAATCCCTAGGACGTTAAATGATAAATTTAAACATCGAGGGAAATGGACTAATGTCAATTTGACAACAAATAGGGATGGGAACCCAACTTGTGTGATTGGAGATCCCATGAAGCAAGTTCAAATGGGTAATAACAAGTCTTCTATTTGTTCTGCTAGCCTTGTAAAATGTCCATTTCTATGGTGTGGAAGGCTAGGCTGCATTTGTTTGTGAGGTTGAGCTAAAGCTCTTAATGATTGTCATAGCCCTTACGGGTGGTGTGTTAAGTGCGGGACACACTTGATGAGGTCACCTATTGAGTGTGAGGTGGGGCCGCCTCCATGAAGCATTGACAACGCTTCTAGAGCACTCAAGAAAACCAAGCACGCGCACGGCCTAGAGGCGCACAACGGCGTTAACGACGAGAAAGGTGGGGGTGAAAAATGATTCCCTAAGACACTGACTTACCATAGTAGATTATTGGTTCATAGAAACTATACGTTTCACCAATAAACTCGGTATTTAAAGACTTAGGCGTCTAGGTCTGGTTCAAGTCTACGGACACTAGATTGAAAAACCTCACCCCATATATGAACCCAATAAGGAATTACTATTTTCAAATACATAAAAAGTATTCATTTGAAATATGTGGGGGATTGTTGGAAATATTGGATTATTTCAAATGAATAAGTTGTTAATTATTTTTGTGGGAAATTTTTCATGACTCATAAGACCATTTTACCCCTACACTTAAAGTTGCTACGTATTATTATTTGACATTAAACAATTGAGATGTTAATTGTTTTCTAACGTTGGACACTAATGATAGTTAATCCAGTAACGTTTTGTATTGATATTTTTTTAATACTATTTAATTCTTACTTTAATCCCATTAAAGTTTATGATGCTTCATATACCTCATGTCTGATTTCAATTGAGTGTGCTTATATATACATAATGTTGCATCCAGCCGAGAGGAGATAGAGATTAGAAAGCAATAACAAAAGACTTGACATGCAGTTAATGGATTATTGGAGGGAGATTAAAGTTGTTACAAGACTCCTCTAACAAAGTGCTTCTTAATGTGCTACCCTAAAATCATAATTTTATTATTGGGTTCATATAATATTTTCTTCTCGTTAGTTCTGTTACCGGTCATGTACCGAAGGACTCGTTACATCTTGGGGGAAATTTCCGTACGCCGGAAATAATTCCTTAGGACAGCGTCTGACGCGTCTCGAGCCACTAATATACTTTTAGTTCTTTGTAGTGATTATTTTGCAGGTCAATTAGCGGAGCTAGATGGTCAACGATGTCAATTGTGGAGCAACACGGTCAACACGTTGAATTTGGAAGGATAGAGCCAACAAACTTTACATGCAATTACTTTGCATGTAAAGTTTTAATGTGTAAACCGGCCCTCCGGAACAATAACGGTTCACACCTTCCGTTATTTTACATGCATGTCTCACCCATGACCTACATGACCCATATAATTTAGCATTAGGGTTAACTGAGATGCCGCTCACAACCCACCCCACCCGACTCAGAGGAAACACGCACACCAGGGTTCCGCACCAGGCTTCTTTCCCTTCATCTTCAATGTCTGGGTAAGTTATCTTTTTCTTTCGGTTAATGCAAATTGGCACAAGACGATAGGGCAACATAGATTTGACACAAAAGAAATGAATTCGACATATATGGCAGTGTTAGTTTGTAATCTTAATATCTTATTAGACGTACATCAGTTTGTTTGTTTTATGTTTCCTGTTAGGATGTTTTTACTTGGACAGTAATCTGTCTCAGACCAGAACAGATCATACCAGACTTGGATAGTTATAGAAATACGAAGAAACAAGACCAAACCAGACTAGACCAGTCCAGACCAGATCAACAAATAACCGTCCAAGTAAAAACATCCTTACACTTCTTATTTACTCTAACTTTGCAGAATGCTTCAATGAAATATTATAGGAAAATTAATACTTTGTTCGTCCCGCAAAATAGTTTCTGGTTTCCTTTTTGGGCCGTCCAAAAAAATAGTTCTCATTTCCCCTTTTGGAATGTTTTGTTTGGCTCACATTCATTTACCTTTTTCTTACTCAACCACAACCATACATTTCCACTTTATTCACACTTTCTTAAACTTTGATCCAAGTCAATGCGGGAACTATTTTATGGGACAGAGGGGGTATATGACTAATAATTTAAGCATATTTTACTTGGACTTATTTCAGCCCACACCACACAGACCAGATCATTATTCCAAATTTGACAATTGTATAATACATCGTAAAACTTCGATCCGTACCAGATTATATCAGACCAATTGAGATCAGGCGAGAAAACTTCGATCCGTAAAAAGATCCTAATAATTAAGTTGAATAGGGAAATAACGCCAAAACACATCGTAATCATTTTATGGCAGGCGGTCTCTCCCTCATGTAGGGTTTCTATCCGCCGCCTTTCGTGCGAGAAGCATACGATCGGCAAACATGGCGGAAAGTTCGCAGGGAAACAGACGAGGTCGAGGCGGAGTCCATCCACAGCTGGAGGACGCTTTCCAGGAGGACGAAGGGGAGCGTAGAATCCTTAATCGGCCAGTACGGTGGCATGGGGTTGGGGCATTCAGAGGAAGAATTGGTGCTAGATGACGAGGATGAGGCGGAGAAAGACCCTGGGGCAGCGAGCAAAGCGGTGGAAACTTTCCCCGTCATTGGCACCATTCTCACGGATAAAGTGATAAAGTTTCAATTTTTTCGCGATCGGATGGCGTCTCTATGGTTCCCGGGTAAGGGTGTTCTGATTCAAGAAATCGGGGAGAAGAGGTACCTGTTTACTTTTTATCATTCAATTGATAGGAATCGTGTTTTGAATGATGGACCGTGGCTGTATGACCAGAACCTGTTAGTTTTAAAAGCTATTGAGCAGGGCGATATGCCCCTGAAGGTTCCTCTTGATACAGTTGATTTCTGGGTACAAGTGCATAATATACCTTATGGATATTCTAATCTGGGAAATGCTCGTAAAATTGGAAACTATTTGGGTAAATTTATTTCCTGGGATGATAACTAGTTTGATGAGAAATGGGAGGCCTATATGAGGGTTAGGGTCAAGCTAGAGGTGAGGAATCCCTTAAAGGTGGGTATAAATCTGAAAAAAGGGAAATGGGAAGGGAAGTGGTTGGACTTCAGATATGAGAAACTTCCGAGTTTTTGCTTTGCTTGTGGAGTTATAGGACATGCTGAAAATTTTTGTCCTTTATTGTATGAGAAAGGAGAGAATGAGGTTGTGAGATCTTTTGGGTCTTGGCTTCGGGTAGGAGGAGGGCGAACTCGCCCTTCCATGGGAAGTAAGTGGCTGGTTAACGACGGAGGGGCAGGAAGGGATCTTGGGGGGTTGCATATGTATCCCAATGATAAGTAGGAACAGGGGCAGAATTCTATGCAGATCAAGATTCAGGAGAAAGGGAAAGGGTCGAAGCCTGAGGAAGCAAGGATTATTGGCAGTGGAACGGGAGAACAGAAGAGAAGGAGGACCTGGGATGCACATGAGCAGGAGCAGGAGCAACCAGAAGAGGATGTCATGGCTCTCGACGGCACAAAAAACAGGGAAGAGGCGGGCTGGGACTCTCAGACCCGCCAAAACTTGTGAAGATTCGGGGCTATTAAAGTTATGAAGTTTTTCTAAGTTTAGACTGACTTTTCTGTATGTTGGTTTTTTGCTTTGGTCATCGAGTACTCTTGTTTGTTGTTATTTTTATTTCGGTCAAAACTCTTGAACATAGGACATGTGATAGAGAACTAGGTTTACCAGTCATTGGCTCAAGTAAGCCCAATTCAGGATCAGCGAATCTGGTTGCTTCTTATGAGGTGGCAGGTTCTAAGTCTGGTTCACGGGCAGACGGTAGACATTTCTTTTCTAGTTATTTATAAATAACTACTCCCTCCGTCTCATAAAATAGTTCTCGCATTGACTTAGATCAGAGTTTAAGAAATTGGGAATACAATGGAAATATATGGTTGTGGTTAACTAAAAAAATAAATGAATGATAGCCACAAAAAACTTTCTAAAAAAGGAAATGTGAGTTAGTTTTTGGGACGACCCAAAAAGAAAACTGGGAACTATTTTGTGGGACGGAGGAGAATCATACTTCTAAGTTCTAACTTCCCTTTTAAAAAACATGTGGTCAATAATATTTTACTTTATTACCTTTAAATCTCGATAGATAGATATAAAATGGGAGTATTACGACGCATTGTTTTTGTGAGAAATGTAGAGGTGTGTTTCGCATATGAATTCTCACCCATTGTGTATAAAATAATTTTGGACGTCACTCATATATCATCATCAAATTACGATATTACCCGCACGGGTAGCTCAGCTGGTCGAGTGGTGGGAAAATTGGAACTATGACCAAGGTTCGAATCCCCGCAGCGACCGGGTGGAGGTCACAGAACCTGAAATAAGGCTGGGCCTCTGGTGCGCACGGGGTAAAGGCCTACTGCCACTCTGCTGACTGAGTCACCGTGACTTACATCCTCCCATGTGCTTTGTCGGGTCGGGGCGTGGGGGGCGCTTGGGGTTGGCGATTCAACCTTTTGGAACTATCAAATTACGATATTTATTAAAAGTCACAGTTGTATTATTGAGATTGTCCATTTAAAAAATATTATTTGATGGATGACCTTCCATCGACCAATAATAACTTCATAGTACTACCAAAGTGATGATTATTGCCGAGGAAGAAAAATCAAACTTGCCAAATAATAATCAATCAGATAGTCGACAACCTTGTCCATACCATAAACGGCAACCATTAAGGCTCTGTTTGCAAACCCTATTGAGAAGTGCTTTTAACTTTTTTAAATGATTTGGTAAAAAAGTGATTAATAGTAAAAGTTGGTAGTGTTTGAGAAAAAAGTGATTTTGAAAAGTAAAAGTTGGTGGTGTTTGGTAAAATAAGTGCTTTTTGTGTAATAGAAAAAGTAAAAAGCAGATTCTAGCTTTTAGCTTTTAAGTAATTCATTTAAGTAGAAGTTGTCATTTGAAAACATCTTTTTTAGCTTTTTTAAGCCAAAAGCTGGGAAGTGCTTTTCTAGTTGTGTTTGCAAACAGAGCCTAAGTTATGTTCATTAAGTAGGGACCAAAATAATTATATATGTGGTGCCACAATCGATTTAAACCAATGCTTTCTCATCCTCTTTTCTCACCTCACTGTCAAGTGCAACTACATGGCCATAGATGTACCAACACGCAAATCATGATTTTCGATTTATTTTATATGTGGGCAAATCACAATTATAGCTTTTAGGTCTATATCTCAATAAATATTATATTTTCAATCATTAAAGAGATACTATCGGTTATTTTATTGAGTTTATGAAAATCACGAAAAATTTATCATTGATGACCTATTGAATATAAGTCCCCAAATTTAATGAGAATAAGGACACAAATATTACATGCTCCATCTCCTTAAATCAAGTTCTCGTTTTGACCTACACATATTTACGTAGGATATAGTTTTATTTTGATTTTTCAAATATACCCTTATTTTATATCAAATCAAACAAAAAATAGATTAAAAAGTACCTAGTAAGATTGATTGAGACTTTTTGCTTAAACATGGTTTTCTTTTATAGAAATGAGAAATTATTTATGAGACACCCATAAATGGAAAGTAGAAATTTTTTTTTCGGTTATATAGATTTGTAATTTTTTTTGGTTATCCCACTAACTTTGTCACTTTCCATTTTAAGTAAATAATTGTTATTCGTGTTAAATCTCTCTCATTTGCACAAACTTCTACCATACAATTTTTATTTTATTAATCCTCGTGTCTATCAATTTGACAAAGTTTTAAGGGACAAAGGGGGAACTATTTACGTTACTAATGTTTTACTATACTTTGAAGGGCAAATTCTTCCTTTGTCATTGTAGACTTCATATCGTCCGATCAGTGGTTAACGAATTGTTATACTTCTGTCAAGTAATTTTATGCCTAATTCTATTGTTGATGTTCAAATTCATGGTGTTTTGTCTCGTAAAGGTTCTGCGAGTTCTGATATGTAACTGAAGGTAAAATGTGTTCAATTTACCTTCAATCCAACTTGAAGACCATGAATTTAGAAGGTGAAATGTGTTCATTTTACCATCAATCCAACTAGAATATCCTTAATCAAAATTTTCAATATGTTTAAATCAATCCAACTATTTTTTTTATGTAACTCAAGGTAAAATGTGTTCATTTTAGGAGGATAATAAGTTTTTATAAGGAATCGAAATAAGGTAAGAATCAAACCAAATTTAACAACCACATTTTTTACTGAAACCGAACCGAATTTAACATCTACAATTTTTAATATGGTTCCTTCATATTTTAACCAGAACCGAACCGATCCCAGACCTACTGATAAGTCCATTTTGTACTTATTTTTCTACCATATTTGAGCGATTTTTGGATAGAAAATAGAAAAATAAGGCATATTTTAAATATTTTGGTTCAAGTTTCATGAAATCAGGTGAAAATCACATCCATGATATGTTTGGCGAAATTCCAGGTCAATTGAGCACAAAATGAGTTAATTTGAGTAACAAATGAATTCATACCGGAAGAAGCAAACATAATATCAAAGTGGTCCAGAAGACAATCTTGAAGAGCAGAAAATACAACACAAGTCAGATAGATTTACTTACAGGCGGTCAAACAGGCGCCCAATATTGACCGCACAACCGGCCGCCTATGGCTATTTTGGAAAGTCAAAGTTTGTCTTTGACCAGAAACGGAAAAGACCGAAGGCTGCCGACTCCCGAAGAAGGGCGGCCGCCCTCGGCAACCGCCTGCGGCACAACGCGACGAAACCAACGACTGACCAGTGTGAATTGACGGAAGGCGGCTAGAAAGGAACGGCAGGCGGCCGCCTACCCTGACCGCCTGCGGCGAAGCGACGCGTGTCACGATCGTTTGCCGATGAGGAGACGGTAGGCGGCCGTGGCGATGGGCGGCCGCCTATGAGCAATTATCATCTATAAATACTAAGTTTTTTCTACAACGCAAACACACCATTCTAAACCCTAATCCACTTTGAAATCCTCCTATTCTTGAGCTATTTCCGCAGCTTTTCATCCTTGAGGAGAGAGAAACTTCAATCTTCCATATCTTGTTCAATTTAGCTTCAAATTGTAAGTTTTTTTTTATCAATCCCGGAAGGCAAACCACCAAAATCAGTGGGGCAAATGCCGAGAGTCAGATGCCGTTATTTTATTAAAGAGATCAGGATACAAAAGAGAGGGGGGACCAGACCAAACCTCTCACGGAAGCATACTTCTGAAAAACCTAACATACCAAGAAATGGTAAAAGTAAAATAAGTTTTTTTTTGGGGGGGGGGGGGCTAAACCTGACCCAAAATAACAATACATAAATTAAAAGCGAATACACGAAAAAGATCAGCACAATCAGATAAAAACACCATTAAGGACGGAATCTAGGAATTCCAAACAGATCAGCATAGTAATTCATCTTTACTTGATTAGGCAAGGACCCGACTTGGTCAAATCGAATATTTATTTTCATCCTTTCAATCTGTAGAATCTGAATATGCAACTTGTTTGTTCAATCCGTTCTTCAAAAATTTCCAGAATATTTATCAACTTTTGCATTTTCTTCATAAATTAAAAAAAAACCCAAAAATATTTTACTTTGTTTTTTTCTGGCGGATGTCTGGAGGAAGAAGTGACAATCCCATCTTTGAGGACCCACCATTGAGCAAGCAAGGCCCACGGCCCGAGCCTGATATCCCATTTGCCACTGATGCTAACCGTAGACGCTTTCAGACATGGGGGCGTTTTCGCAGTCTCTTAGCTCCCATGATCCTGGACCACGAGATGCTCGAGCCGTGGGGATACTGGGGCGACAT